AATAATAATAATAGAGGATGAGGATGTAAAAGGTTATTTGTCAACCTTTCTGGCATCTATTCAGCTGAAGCTAATATATTTGCTATGGTATCTTGTTATTTGGCAGTGAATATGCTTTTGAATGGCTATATGTCTGAGTGACTAAATATTATTGTTGACCTTTCTACAGTAGGCTGTGTAAATGCTGGCTATTATTAATAATACAGGAAAATACGTTATGTCTTAATTTTTTTAACAAACATACTGAATTGAGATCTGCCAAACATCTAAGTTAATGGCAATATATGTGTATGCCACAATTTGTATTAGCAATATGAAAAACTGCACATAAAATGTCTCTGAGGAGAAATTGCACACAGTATCAACATTTTATTGATAATGTGTGCACCCAATAGAAATTGCACACAATATCAACATTTTGTTAGAGAAAAATATTTGGGGGGTGGGGAACATCCACACTAGCAATAATGCATTCAAATGTGTAGACAAAAGTGAATATGGATTTTAGTGATGGCATTTCTTGGACAGATTTCTCTGTGTTAACCTGAAACAATCTCAGGTTGAAATGTACCGTACAGTATTTGCAACGAGGATATGTCAGATTGGCACAGCCCAAATTTGCAGATTCACCCATAATTAAACTATTATCGCCAAAATTTTCTGGATCCAAAGGATCCAAAGAACTGCAGAGTTGTTGCTTGCCACTCACTGGCTTACGTGGCATTCACTTCAAAATGTTCTAGCTAGTCTAAGAGAATGTGGCTTTGATCCTGACTTAACCTTCCAGCAACAGAACAGCTCCTTCTTTCCATTCTGTGAGCTAAGTCCAATTTAGGCAAGACTCCAGCTGGCAGAGGCAGAGAAAAGTAGGGGATTTCTGCTTATTCCCTTTTTCCATTGCAGTCTGCAGCGCACCTAGCATACTGTTCTTAATGATTCCTTTATCGTCTGAGGCAGGGTAAAGGAGTGCAAAAATGATGAACGTGGCTTCTTCCTTTCTACCACTGAGTGCAAACTTTGTGAAGCATTTCACAGAAGCTTAGGATTCAAACAACAGGGCTCTTTCATTTTTTTGCCTGCAAAACTGGTTCTGGGAAATTATTGCCTTTGTTTTCTCTAACCATTTGGTTATTTCTGAAAGAAATTGCCAAATGCTATGTGAAATATTGCTTAGAATGGATGCTCTGAGATGAAGCAAGTTATTTACATTGGTCAAAAAGCTGAGCTGGCAGGAATGGATTGACATCTTTGGGACTGGAAAAAGTGTAATGAGTGATCTATTTTGATCATAGCAAAACTATTTTGTACTGTAAAAACAATTTTGTCAGTGTTAGCAAATGTTACTATGCTGGATGGATTTGATTTAAATCACTCCTTTGAAAGACACGCTTCATAATGTTGCTTTTTTTGTCTCAAAGTGTATTCTTGCTTGCTATAACTTTTCACAATACAGTACATATTTCTTTCAGTTTCCTTGTTTAGTAATTTTCGGTTCATTGACACTTTTAGCGTTTGGGAATGGCTTGTCTTTGTCTACTCAGAGTTGCAGAGGGTTAGTTGCTAGGACTGCCATCCTAAATGAATAAGAGCCACTCAAGAAAACTATTGAAAACAATCCTGGAGATTTTGACAGTTTACAACATTATATCATGGCTGTGAGGACAAAGATAGGAATAGTGACAGAATTTGAAATTAGGATTACTCAAGTGTGTTATTTCTTATTCTAATAACTCGCATTCTTATTAATCTCTGAAGATACAAACAAATGTGAGAACTGCACATTTTGCTTATGATGGCTACAGCACAGAATACTAGGGGAGACTGAAAGACTAATCTTGATAATCTATATGAAATCTCATAAGATTGAAGCCACAGTCCAAGAAATGCTGTATCCTGTTTAGAAAACCTTTTAGGAAATATATAAATACATTGGGCAAAATCCTAGTGTATAATTTGTGCCTGCATAATATGGATTCAGTGTTGAAAACTTTTTGCCCCTGGGGAAACTTTTTGGAGCCTCGAGATACAGTTGTTGGTTTTTCTTGCTTCCTGGTAGTAAAAAATTGCCATTGGCAGTATCAGGACTCCCAGAAGAAATTTGGTTACTATTAAGGTACACACATCCCTGACCTGATGATTCTAGAGGCATCCCTAGAGCAAGGGGGAATCTAAGGAGCCACAGAACTTGAAAGGGATAGGAAACTTGAGGTTAAATTAAATGCTTTCAGTGCCCAATCCAAATTATACCAGCACAAAGGATTTTATCAATTGGCTTATAACGTAGAATTGGAATATATAATCCTTATTCCATCACAAGATGCGCTATAACAAATTATAAGTTAAGACTACTTTCATATAGGACTTTTTAAAAAACAAAACATTTCAACAGTAAACATTTCAAAAATGTAAAATTTTAAGGTCTTTTTTTAAAATGATATTTTATCCGTGCTGGCTAAACAAAGGAGGAAAGTAGAAGTCTTGAGATACATACTTGTAGAAATGAAAGATAACTTTTTAAGCAGTGGTGCTCTTTCTTTTTTATTTATTTATTTTGAAACACATGAGCACATATGTATTCTTCAAGGAGCTCAAGACAGTGCACCTGAAGTTATCTTAGTATTGCTTAGAAGAACATGGGGAAGTGGGGCCAAGCTGTTCAGAAAGTCCTGATTTAATCATGGGATTACTTTTCCCCTAGAAAAATGCACTCTTGTTTTTTATAATCTTGATATTTTCCACAATATACATTTTTTGAGTTTTTCACAGTTTTATTGGCCACATTGATGTCATCTTCAGTAACCCTCTGTTAATAGACATTTCCAGTAGCTGAAAGTTTGCACTGTGTGTGTGTGAGACAGAGAGAGATAAGGGCTTGCCACCCTGGGGTAATTAGCATCCCTCAAGAAAACTGTGGAAATGATAGAAAGCAACCCTGGTGATTTTGGTAGGGTGTCCAACCAAACCTTTCCAACTTAATTAATTCTGTGTTGGAGTTGGGGCAGCTCCAGGAAAAAAATTGTCAGAGTTAGAAAGGAGAGCTAATTATGTCTGTTATTTCTTGCTCCATATATTGCTGTAAACAAATACTGTATGTATCTCTGGAGACAAATACTGAGTATGAGATTACATTTTTTAGGCATCTCTTACGCTGAATATTAGGGAGAGAAAATGGTTAATTAAAATCTTAATGTAAATATTAAACATTTTGATGGGGCTCCATAGGCTTAAAGGCAGAATCCTATGAAACCCCATGACAATGAGGTCCAGTCCAAGAACTTTGTTACAATTATGTAAAAATTGTTTTATAATGTAGGATTAAAATTTGTAGTTCTATATCAAGGTTTTAAAGCTAGAACATATAATTTTAATTTACAGTCATAACACAGATTTCTTGAAAATATTGTAACAACAAAACTATAAAAAGCCAATTTGATTTTAAAAAGTGTTTTGTAATATTAAAAATCGTTACTTTACCCATTCTAGTTTGAGCTGAGAAAAATTTTGGTCCAAAGTCATCTAGTGAGCTTCATGGTTATAAACAGTTTTAATACATCCTTCAGTAATTAAAAACCAACACAGACCGACATCCTCTTGCATATTTATGCTGGCTTAAAGCTGTTGGTGTAACCTTGGAAGGAGAATTACCTCAAGTTACAAAGTCAGCATACAGTTGTACCTCGACTTGAGAACGTCTCTACATAAGAACGATTCGAGTTAAGAACGGCTCCATTCACAAAAAGTTGCTTTGACTTGAGAATGCAGCCTCAACTTAAGAACCAAAACAAAGAAAAAGAAAAACCCTTCCTGCCTTTTTTTTGACCTAAGTTCACCTTAGGTCGGTGGTTCTTAACCTTGGGTTACTCAGATGTTTTTGAACTGCAACTCCCAAAAACCCCAGCCAGCACAGCTGCTGGTGAAGACTTCTGGGAGTTGCAGTCCAAAAACACTTGAGTAACCCAAGGTTAAGAACCACTGCCTTAGGTCAAGAGAAGAAAAATTCACCCCCTAGTGGTAGATACAGACTAACCAGCTTTGCATTCTTTCCTATGGGAACTAATGCTTCGACTTAAGAACAGTGCCTCAATTTATGAATGAAAAACAGCAGATACAGATTAAATGGTTTTCAGTGCATTCCTATGGGAAATGGTGCTTTAGCTTAAGAACATTTCGACTTAAGAACAGTCCCAATACGGATTAAGTTCTTAAATCGAGATACCACTGTAGACAGTATATGTTATGCAACTCAATTTGCAAGAGAGAATGTCTAAGCTTACTTGGGGCAATTTGCTTCCAAAGCTTATGCCATTAGTTTTGCTATTATGCTTGTGTAACTAAGGAAGGGGATTTTGGCTGTTACAGTATCTGCTATACCAGTCTTGATTCTTTCAAAACGTGCGATTAGGCGTAAGTGAAAAATTGTAATCCTGGTGATTTACAGTTTGAGTCGGTTTTAAGACTATGCAGGTAAGTTTCTAAAAAAGAATGTAAAGTTCCTTCTATAGTCATAAGGGTATATACTTTTGGCAGTCAGAAAACTGATTATTTCATGCTTCTTAATATAAAAGCTTACTGGTACGGAAAAGTTCAGAATAAAATTGAGTCATCTGGAAACCAGAAATTGAATTACATGGGGGAGATGCATGCAGGCATGTTAAACTTGGCTTCCCTGTTACATTTAACAATGCAATTTAGCTTCATTTTGCTATATGTATAGTAAGATGAGGCTTCATTAGATGATGTATTATATGGAAACATTTGTCTATAGCAGAAATGTTGACAGCCAAGATGGGCCTTGAAAAATTATTCTTTGCTGAAAAGCATAGACACATTCTATATCTTAAGTAGATTATACATGGTATGTTATGTAGTGTACCTGGTGTGAGCCTAGTTATGATGGACATATTGCATTTGGTATTCTTAGGGCTGGAGCACATAACTACATTCGCCATGGTGGCGATGCTGTTGAAAACAGGAGCATGGAAGTTCATAACATGATCGCAGGGCTCCACGCAGTAAGTACTTCCGTATGTTATGACCAATATATTGGTTTTGGCAGCATCCCTGTGGCAAAACAGTAGATGTACTGCAGCCCTTATTTTTGAATTATTATTTCAGTTATTGGACACTTGCATTCACTGTTCAAAGTAGTGAAATTTGGGAAGAAAATCAAGGTTTTTACTTGTTAGATTTTGAACTGTTATCATATGCTGCAATAATAGTTTAAAATCTAAGAAGTAAAAAGGAGGCATTCCGTAGAAACATTTCAGATCCAATGTGGAGTTTGTGGCCTATATGTTATCTTCCATGACAGTAATATTACCAAATTCCTAAAATTTTATCCTAGAAATTTATTATTCACTGTAAGTCTGTTAGATTTGGCCGTTATGTTGGTTGGCCACTTTGAACTCTCAAGGAAAGGTGGAATAATATTTGAAGTAGTGGTTCGCAACCTTGGGTAACCCAGTTACTCTATGACTACAACTCCAAAAAACCCCAGCCACCACAGCTAGTGGTGAAAGCTTCTGGGAATTGCAGTCCAAGGTTGGGAACTGTTGGTTTAAGGGAAGAAAAACTCAGTTTTCTTTTGAATCATTATGTATGACAGAGTGTTTAATTTTGTCCTTGTTTCAGTTTTCTCTGTCTTACTGTATGTCCTGTAATCTGTGACTGAGGATATGCTTTTTCTAAAAGGACCTTTGGGCTACTGTTCCATATATTTGTGAGTTGTGTGTACAGTGGTGCCCCACATAGCGACGATAATCCGTTCCGGAAAAAATGTCGCTATGTGGAATCGTCGCTATACGAAACAAAAAAGCCCATAGGAATGCATTAAAACACATTTGATGCGTTTCTATGGGCAAAAAACTCACAGTTCAGCGAAAATCCTCCATACGGCTGCCATTTCGCTGCCCGGTAAGTGAGGAAAGGGCACGAAAACACAGTGGGCGGCCATTTTTTTAATCCGGCGGCCATTTGTGAACCGCTGATCAGCTGTTAGAAAAAACATTGCTATGCGGAAATTGGTAAGCGAAACAGCTTACCGGTCATCGCAAAGCGATTTTTTGCTATCTAAAACATCGCAATGCGATCACTTTTGCGATCGCAAAATCATCTTCGCTATGCGGATTCGTCGTTAAATGGGGCGCCCGTTATGCGGGGCACCACTGTATTTTGTTTATGAAAGATATAGTCTGAACTTTTAAAAAAATGCTGACCCCCCCATGTCTACAATTTAGTGTATGCTTTAAAATTCTGGATCCACTATGGATACTCCTCAGGCAGTTCAATTTATTTATTATTTTTAATTGGAATATTCTATAGGGCTTTAACTGGCAGTGTAACTTATAATTTTACCTTCTGTGCATAAAAAGATTGCAAAATATAGCTGAAGAGAATACAGTGTTTTCCATATTGGGTAGTGCAAGAGATAATAGTGAAGTTTTTGATCTGTTTTATACTGCTATATAAGAATGATAAGAAGAGCATTGTGATATTCAAGAAGCAGTTACAGTAAGCTTGCAGTGAACATGGAAGAGGAAGAAGAAATCATTTTTTACCCAGGGCAGTCAACTCATATCAGCTTTACAAAATCTTAGCTTTCAGTGGAGTTGTGAACTTCTTCAAATCAAGGGCTACATTCTCTTTTAGAAAAGATGGGATTTGTCTATTCCTATTTTGCCTTGTTTATCTTCTACAGTGGTGCCTCGCTTAACGAGTGCACCACATAACGACGAAATCGCATAGCGATCCGTTTTTTCGGATCGCTAATGCGATCGCTTAACGTTTTTCTTATGGGGCACAATTCGCTTTGCGAAGACCGGTAAGCGTTTTGCTTACCGATCTTCGCAAAACAAAGCCCAACAGAACCAACAGTGAGTGTGTGTGTGTCAGAGATCCTTAAGACAGACCTGGGCAAAGTGCGGCCCGAGGGCCACATACAGCCCGTGAGCCGCTCCTGTCCGGCCCGCTGGACATCAAAACCATTTATAACTTTTTGTTTAAAGTTGATCAGTTGCCTATCTTTAACGTACCACAAAAAAACCTCTTTAGTATTTGTGAAGATTAACAAGTTTAAAATAAAAAATAATCATAACATCACTGTATCATTTTATTTTTAAGTAAAGTTGGTTGGCCCCCCGAACACAGTTCAGATTTTTCATGTGGCCCCCTATAGAAATTAATTGCCCACCCCGCCTTAAGATAATGCCTCGCTTCCAAAATGTCCTACAGAGATATATAAACCTCCTGGGAAAAGATTGGAAACCTATTTTAGTCATAGCTAGCATTTAAAAGGTTAATCTCTGAATGAAACCAGACAATCATAAACAAGCATTTCAAATCTGGGTATCTACAGTGTGGTCTCGACTTACGAACTTAATCCGTATTGGAAAGCGGTTCTCAGGTCGAAAAGTTCGTAAGTCGAATCTGCATTTCCCATAGGAATGCATTGAAAACCATTTACAGTGGGGTCTTGAGTTGCGAACGGCCCGAGGTACGAACTTTTTGAGTTACGTACTTCTCCGTCCGCAAAAATCCATTTTGACTTGCGGACGAAGAATTGAGGTACGAACCCAAAAGTTTTTTTAAAAAGCGGGAAAGCACCTGGAGCCGGGTGGCGGCGACGCAGCGAGAGGATTGGGGCGCCTCGGGGCGTTCTGGCCGCCAGAATTCCAGCCCAGCCGGGGCCTCCGCCTGTCCTGGGTGGGCCCCGCTGAGCCGAGCTCCGGCGGTGGTGGCAAAAGGCAGCGGTGAGGACGGCGGAGGAGCCTCCGAGCGCCCCGGTGAGCCCGCGCAGGAGGGCGGGAGAGAGTTGCGGGGTGGCACTGTCGCTGGGAGGGCTCTGCGCCGGGGAACTAGGCAGGCACGGGCAGCAGGTGATGGAAACGGGAGGAGGGCGAGGGGCGCGGTTGGGTGAGCAAGGGGCTGGGGAGGAGAGCGAGGAGGGCGAGTGCGGCGCGGTTGGGTGGGCGATGGCTGCCTGAATGAAGGGAAGCCGGCTGGGGCTGGAAACGGCGGCCGGGGGGGGAGGGG